CTGCCTTGGGTAGTTCCCGAAAGCTGTGAGAATCTTCGTAATCACGGAGGAGCACACCGCCAGCTTCCCCGCAATATTTTCCATCGGTAGCACAACACGGCCCCACCGCCCAGCATTTTAGATGAGCTCCTTCGGACCAAACATATAACCTGTATTATCTCCGGCATGTCCTGTTTAAGTACAGTTTAGTGGTCACTACAGAAATGAGAGCAAAGGCAAAGACGCGGCTAAGATCGATACAGGCGTTAATAGCTTCGCTCCTATCTTATCTTTCTGCCATTTTGCAAAGTGAGAAGGCTCAACATTAAACCTCTTAAAGTAGGTTATTATATAATAAACAAGGGTGAAACAGTTTGCTACCTGGCTGTCGGAGGAGGCAACACCAGTGGCTGCCGTGGGGGTAACACGCGTGTTTACCTGCCACGGCTGAACCCGAGATATTCAGACACAAATGTGGCCGATAATTCAAGATGAAAAACAATGCGTATTACTCTTGAAAAGAGGAATTTTCTATCCTTTCCTCGGTAATTGAGGTCATTCAGTCAGCAGGGTTCACCTGGAGTCCATACTGTGATACACACGTAACTCAAAGCTATTTTATCTTTTGTGCTGATAGTCAAGATCTCGGCTATAACATTGACATCAAACTCTGTCTGGGCGAATGACTAAGAGTGGTGCAAAACGTAAACTTTTGACCCTCAACTTTTTGACCTGCAGTTGTAACGCCCTTAACCACAAAGATATACAAAAGCTATGCAGCTTCTTTTAGGAGTAAGAGACTCGCACTGTTTGTTTCAATAGTTCTCCCCTTTCCCCCAGCTTTCTAAGGGTTGTTTTTTTTTTTTTTCTTTTTCTTTCTTGATGTTGAGAAATCGGATACTTTTTTAATTTTTAATTATTGCCTTTTTTCTTTTATTTTCTTTAATCTCGCAGCTTTGTAAAGTGCTGTTAGATTGCACAGCAGCCTTTCGGCAGCGTTGGAGGGAAGCCTCTTACTCAAAGGCGCTATATGATTACAATTGCAGGTGAAATGCTGGGTAAGTTCTGGGCGTGAGGTTGGAAGGAATGTAGCGACGAGCGTTGGGGGAAAAGCTGCAGCTCTCTGCTGCAAAGGTCTTAGTCATTTCTCCTTGATTTAAACATAAAGAAAAAACTCTAATTGTTTGCGAAGCCTTGTCTAGGCAAACGAGTTGACTGTGAACTTGGTCTAAAGCGAGCTCTGCTGGTGATTCCTAGGGTGTGCAGATTTATCTTTTCTGCATTTACTTAACCTGGCAGTGAACTGCACGGGCTGCCATTTGTTATCCAGAGACAAGACTTCACCTCAAGCAAGGACTGTTCCACAAAATTGCAATAATTACCCAATAACCTTCATAGCAAATATTATTATTGAAAAGACATTTTTTTGGGGAGGGGATATAGGAAACATTCCTTATGCGATTCCTTATCCTTGCGAATTTTACACGTTCTTTATGTCAGATTTGATATTGTTTGTGCGTGTAGCCACAGACACATGTGACTGTGATGGTCCAAGTGTATTTGCCTTCCAGAGAGATATTCGTGAGGATGCTTTAATTCGAAAGGAATAATATTTTCAACGATGACCAGGTGGCTGTGGGAGATGTGGGTTTGTGCTCTGGCTAGCAGCTCTAGCAGCAAATCCGTGAGATTTTAAGGGCAGGAAAGAGAAAGGACAAAGAAAGCAAAGTGATGTCTTGACTTGGCCAAGAGATTTAGATATGTCTGCGTTTAATGCGTTGAATCTGTATTTGCGGGGAGGGAAAAGGCACTGCCTCAGTATCCAGGGTTTGAAATCGAAACCTCATGATCCGCCCATCATGATCTGTTCCATTCAATTTCCCATGGAGCAGATTGCAAACCCCTTCATTGTCACCCTTCCACAGATACACACTTATTGAATGTAAGGAAACGGCAGAATAATAATTTCCCCATAATGTTCTGCAATTAGGGCGTTTGCATGGTTTAGACAAGGCTGCAGAGCTGTAATTTACGGATGACTTTCCACCGGGTTGTTATACTTCTGCTTTAGAGAAAGTTATGCCTTGCGAAGTCACTAGTTACACAAATTAAGGGAGTTGCCTAATCTTTAATTGTCCTTATGCTTAGACATGACACACTGTACTCAAGTATTTCTTTCAAAGGATTAAGTAAACTGTATTTCAAATTGCATAACACCCCTTGCCATGCCTAAAGTTAAACAAACTCGCCTGCATTAATCCCCCAAACAGAGCAGAAAAATAATGTGCACAGATAAGACCTCTCTTCTCATTCCCAGCGATTATTCTCCATGATATTTTTCCCTCGAAAAACAATTCGGACCTGGGAATATTTTGGTAAAGTTCGGCAGGCTGGGTTCACTTGAATTTCAGATGTAAAGCGGATTAGAAAAATCTGACTGAGTTTCTGGATTTGAATGGCCTCAACCGTGCTGCTCGGGAGAGGGCAGGGCCAGAGATATGGAAAACTTGTCGCTTCTAGCTAACTTTCTCTTGTCGTGGAGAGTTTCTTGCAGTACGGGTGGGTGGGTTTATATGCTTGTGGGTTTGGTTGTTTTTTTTCTTTTCCATACTTCGCGAATCTGTACACTCCTTTATGTGGAATGTGGTCCAGAAGCCACATTCAAAAACGTGAAAATCCCTAGTAGCAAAGCTTTTCGCCCTAGACAATGAAAAATTACTATCTGCGGTGATATCCAGGTTCCTAAAATAGTAGTCGAACGAGTGTGAGTGTGTTTCTGTATTCACTGGATCATTCAAATAACGCAGCATTGTTGAATATTGAGTAATCGCGAATGGTTTGTGTCTAGTATCATTCCCGTTTACAAGCGAATTATATTCCTTAGAAAAGGAATATAAAGCCCAAACTTTTAAAGGGTTTTCATGCTTTTACTTAAAACTATAAAATTTTATGGCATATAATATAATGCACGCTTATCATACATAACTTTCTGGTATTCCTATTGACAGAAATGTGACAGCTAGTGCACTATAAAATCTCCAGCTGTTTATTACGGAAATTATTTTCAAATGTGCATTTGGATATGTAATTTTAAAGTCTTTCTTATTTAAAAAAATATAAAGTGTATGCATATGTGTTTGTTTAGTGTTGAAAGGAAGGATACACAGACACAAAGGCTTCAGACTCCATTTATCTGACACAGGAGGTTGACTCTAAATACTAAATATTGTAAAACTCTGAGATATTTGAGCTAAGCCAACGGTTTGTACAACCGTTTCTTTAACGTTAAAGACAAATAAATAAATTAAAAATAGTATTCAGTCAGCAATGTGCAGACCTTGAAGAGGTACACAACAACCTCACCCACTTGTACCGTTGCACCTTTCTCTCATTTTCACTCAAAGTAACAGATACAGCCTAAACCTCAATATTCAAAGGAGATAGCACTAGCAAAATAAAACAAAGCCTGTCTTCCAGCTCTCCTCAAACCACCCTGTTCTTTTGCAAACCTGACTTTATGTCACATGAAGGAAAACAATGCAATCTGCTGAATCCCTGCTACTCCAAACCTGAGCAGAGAAAGCGATACATCCAGCTTGAAGATAGATAGATGAGATATGTATATACAAACATATATTTTTTGGAAGCAGTGCTCAAGTCTCTTCCCTAACTAGTCAGTTTGTGCCCCCTGAGATCACTCAGCTAAGTAACAGCTCTGAGGGTAAGATCAGGTCTTAATGCTACCCAGAGAAAGACAGAGTTCCTTTCACCCTTTCATTCATGTTTTCATTCAAGTCCTGGAAATTCAAAGACTAAAGTAAAATCCGGCCATAAAGTTTATTGCTGAGTAATCACACTCTAGTGAGAACAGTCCACTTAAATAAAAAGAATGTTGAAGTAAACACGCAGCTGGGGCCTACCCCACAATGGCAGCCAGCAATATAAGGGAGAGAGGGAGAGAGCAGAGCTAAGGGGATATTTACAATCTTCAATAAAGCAAGCCCGTATTTCATAATTTGCAGCACTCTAATGACCTGCAGTCTCTTGTATTAATGCTACAAGTTACAGTCAATTGGTTCGCTTTTAAAAAAAAAAAAAAGAAAGAAAAAAGTCACAGGAACATATATCTATATACACACGTACACACCCTTTGTATACATAAATACACTGATATTAGACACACATATGCATGTGCATGGCTTTACACGGACACACACATTGAGTTGTACATGCATGCACACACACGCATAATATAAATATATTTATACTTATGCAATTACGTATAAGAACTGGGAAAAGTTATAGCAATGTTATAAATGCACAACCCCGAAACATACTATACACTCGCAGATGGACATATATACATAGCTACAGCCTTCTGCACAGCCCAGTGCCGAAAACAAGAGTCTTAAGTGCCCAGTACAGTCTGTGCCATCTTAATACTAGCTCTGATGTGCAACATATTTAGCCAAACCAAAGATTATTAACGTATCAGCATGCCTCCAACTCTATCACGCCTACATAAGACACTGCCCAGATAATATCAAACCTTATCTATTTTGTTTCCCCCTTTTTTTAATCGCCTGCAGTAACTACTCCTTGCTAAACAAAACCTCTCCAAAGTTGGAGAGTCAATTGGAGGAAAGGAAGTAATTATCTTCTGCGGTAGTCAAAGTGATTAAAGTTAGGCCCCAAAATCCATCTCTGCCAAAGTCGCTTATTGTGGTTTACTTTGATTTGATCGTTAAAATAGAGAGCTAGCTGCTGCGAGTGAAGGAATGGGGGGGGGGGGGGGGGGAGCGGGGAGGGAGAAATTGCATCGCAACCTGGATCTTTAGTGGTTGATCCTGCCTCTCGGGCTCAGTGGGACCGTCCTGAAAAGCTCCAGGCGGAGAGGAAAGGAAAGGGAAAGGTAAAGAGAAAGAGAAAAAAGAGAGAGGCGAGAGGCAGCTAGAGCGAGCGGGAGCCTCGGCATCCCCACTGTCCAAATAAACTTCAAGGAACTTGTGCACAAAACTTACCTTTGACTTGCAAGGAGCCATTTTTCATACAGTATTGAGAACTTGTGGTTTGGATACTTCTGTCCCTAAACCTGACAATTTGAATGGCCAGGAGGCACACGTAGCCTGCAAAAGAGTCAAATGAAGTCCAGCGTCAGTGAGATTATATGTTATGTGGTATATAATGTTGGATGTCAACTCCCCAAAACCATAAAACTTACTTTAATGGCACCACGTGACTTTTTATAGCCAGTGAGCCTATCTGTCTGTGCTATGGATGATTTTACGATCTAATTCATAGACAAAACCCTATTCATTTGGCACCCAAATGTCATATAGCCGGAACTGGGGCTTATAAAGTTTACTGTTTTATAACTTTTAAGGGAAGGCATCAATGTAACCCGTCAGTAAATGTGCAAATCTTTAGTTGCTCTTAGAAGCTCAGAAGAGTTAACCATTCAAGCTCTGATGGGGTAAGTAACATTACGTTTATAGCAAACTAATTGTAGCGAAGAAAACCAAAAATCTTTAAAGGGCGAAAAGTGGGAATGTGGCTAGTGAGGTTATTAATAGACGCAGAGGGCTCGGAGGTGTCTGTCCTGCAAATATACTTATTGAAACCACAGGAGAAAATCTAGAGCGATGCAAACACGTCTTGGAGTTAGCAGCGTGTTTTAACAAAGCACATGGGTGGGTGTTCTCTTTTTTTTTTTCCTTAACCATCAACAAACTTCTAACAGCTGATTCACCCACAAAGGGTGTTGACTGTGGTCCTGCGATGCAGCTTTCCATCTAGCGAGAAACCAGTAAGAAGGTACTTGTGGTCAAACTTTCAATTAAAAATAGTGGTAGCGGACAATAGCAGCACCTACCATTTGCAACGTGCAGCAAGAGCCAGGTAAAATAATATTACAAACTCTGCATGAGTTAATTAGTTTTTTTTTTCAGAGGCAAATCAGGAAGCACAACTTCTTGCTTTGCACAAACCAGGTCACGAAAACTTTACAATAGAAAGTTTATTTTTTTGTTGATTTCCAGTCATTTTTTTTAAAAACAAATAATAATAAAAAAAAAGCTGATCACAGTTTGCTCAAACAGCCAGACTTTGACTATATTTGTAACTTTGTTCACAAAAAACATACATCACAGAAGCTGCGCTTAATAAGAGCCACTTCTAAGAGTTCGTGCAAAGAGTCATATACAAAGGCACAGCAAGGACATACTGCTTGGAATCACAGTTTTCGTCACAGATTCACTATTCACTACACGTAAGACAAGTTCAGTTGATTTCATTATTTCACCTCTACAACAGCATTAATTACACAGGAATTATATAGGTAGTTTGAATAAAAATATTTTTAACAGCTTGGAGCTATACAGACATTAACACTTGACCACACATGCACAGTTAAGCAGGTTGAGTGCAACACATAACATTTGTACTAAACCGGGGGAGGGTTTCTTTCTCTCTCTCCTTTTTTTTCCGTTCCTTTTTTTTTTTGTCGTCTTTTTTTTTTTCTGTTTAGTTTAGTTTTGTTTTAACAGTTACTTCAAGTAACACAGCTCGCTTCATATAAATAAGTTAAAACATCTATTATTTTTTCAAGACAAAGCCATTCAAGACAAAGAAATGTACGATAAAAGCAGATCTACTTATACACGCGAGAGAATGGTAATAAACAGGCTCATGATTAAAAGATGAATAAGGGTGACAAGAACAGGGTTTCTTCACAGAAGTAACACAAGGAAGTTTTAGAAAGTCAACTTAGTACTGACATGAGACGCAGGGTCAGCTAATACTGCTCAGTACTTTTAATTGATCAAACGCTCAGGGACGGAATGCCCCTCCTGCAGCTGCCATGCTCATACTTTTCAGCTTATTATCCTTTTTCCATTTCATTCTCCTGTTTTGGAACCAGATCTTTATTTGTCTCTCTGAGAGGCAAAGAGCATGTGCTATTTCAATCCTTCTTCTGCGGGTCAGGTATCTATTGAAGTGAAATTCCTTTTCCAGCTCCAAGGTCTGATAGCGGGTGTAAGCAGTCCGAGCCCTTTTCCCTTCTGGTCCCCCTATGTTGTCTGGAAGAGAAAAGTACATGATTTAGATTCTCAGCAGCCGCTCGGATCTTCCGTGACTTACTGCAGCTACCAGCGTCCAGGACCGTTACTCTCAATCCTGCTTGGTTTTGTTTCTGGTTTGGATAAACGCTCAACAAGTTTCCTCCTCCAGCCCCTTTTAGGAAAGGCTTGGGGGAGGGGGATTTGGTGGTTTCGGTGAGATTTCGCTTGCATTTAGCGTTCGAATTTTATTTTTTAATCGAATTTTTTTGGGTCATTTTTGGAAGGGTAACACCCCACCCCTCCCGCCTTCCGCAGATAAACTGTTTTGGAGGATGCTTCTTCTGCTAGCTGTGTGTTCAGGGCTGGGAGAGCAAAGCTGAAGCTTGCAGCCCTTTCCCACGGCTGAGCTGGGGAAGGCTCTGGGAGGCTCCTGGCCCCCGGCTGCTCCCCCAGCACCCAGGGCAGGGCAAGTACCCAGGGCGGAAAGTTGCTCCGCTTCCCCGCTCCCTCGAGCCCTCTCCCCGGAGTTTGGGTCTACTCGCCCCTCCTCCCCCTCCCTACGGCTTCCCAGCAGTGAAAACTGCCCTCCTCGCCCTTTCCTATTCTCTTTTTAATATGGCTCGGCAAAATAAATGGGGTCAGCCGCGCGGTTCCCACTGGAGGAGCCCCCTTCGAGAGGAGAGCCGGGAGCAGCCTCTGCTCCCGAGCCCCTTCTGGAAGGCTCTTACTGCTCTCTCGCTGCCCGCCGGGGCCGGCGCTGGGAGCCAGCCGGGCTGGGTTACTGGGGCCGGGCGGGTTCTTTATATTTCTTTTCATGTTTTTGAAGAGGGGACACGGCTCTCCCGGAGAAGGGAGCCTGTTTCCCTGAGAGCAGAGTTGTGCTGTGTGAAGAGGCTGCCCGCTCTCACGCCCTCCTCTCCCCTCTCCCCGACCTTGCTCGGCACAGCCACCCGGTTTACATTAAATCCTCCTTTTTCGCCAGAGAAATAAAGAAAGAACAGGGTATTTGCTTTACCATGACTTATGTGCAGTTTTCGCATCCAGGGGTAGATCTGGGGCTGTGAAGGCTGGGCTGTGCTTTGGTCGGTCGGGGCACTTGCCTGCTCGCTGCTTGCTGGAGTGTCTTCCTCAGTCCCGGATGAGGTGCCAACCCCGTCCCTGCTGATGTGCGTGTTGCTGCTGGAATTGGACGAAGTGCTGGTGGAGTTGGCGAGGGAGTTTTTCACCCCGTGGTGACTCTCGCTGGTGACAGGCGAACCGGCCACGGCGGTGCAGGGCAGAGGGTCGGGGGGAGGCGAGTGGGAAGCCGTCGCGGGCTGGTTGTACCTGGGCTCTGTCGAGGCAGAGGTGGTGTTGGCCGGGTAACTGCGGGGTCTCTCACTGGCACCAAAGTGGGTGGAAGCAGAGCGCCCGACGCTGAGGTCCATGCCATTGTAGCCGTATCCGTACCTGCCGGAGTGCATGCTGCCGGAGTCCCTGTATTGCTCGCTCACCGAGCTGTGATCTCCATAATTATGTAACGGGTAGTCCGGGCCATTTGGATAGCGACCGCAAAATGAGTTTACAAAATAAGAGCTCATTTGTTTTTTGATATGTGTGCTTGATTTGTGGCTCTTGGTCGTTTTGTGCGTCTATAGCACCCTTGCACAATTTATGATGAATTATGGAAATGACTGGGACATGTACTTGGTTCCCTCCTACGTAGGCACCCAAATATGGGGTACGGCTCCACATCACGTGCTTTTGTTGTCCAGTCGTAAATCCTGCCTGATGACCTCTAGAGGTAAACTCGTGCACTGGTGGGGGAGTTGGGAGGGCGCGGGCGGCCCCGTGCGCGCCGCCGCTGCGCGCCGCCGCCGCCACCGCCCGCCCGTCCGCCGGCCTCCAGCGCCACCCGCTGGCGGCGAGGGAGATGGCGGCGGCTCCGCAGGGTCGGCCCGGGGTGACGGCCCCCGACGGCGGCGCGGAGCGGGGCACGCCGCAGCCGGCAGCGGCGGAGGGGCGGCGGGGTCGGCAAGGCCAGCTCCTCCGCCGCGGCCAGCGGAAAGCTCGGCTTGCAGGGCGCGCTCTGCTTTGTGGCTGCCTTCGCCGCCTTGCGGGGCTTATTTACACCAGTTTACAAATTTTGCGTGATCCATCCTCGGGTGCTGGCCACGCTTATGTCCCTTCTCTCTCTACATATATATCTTAATTTATTTTTCTCCCCCCTTTTTCCCGTGCCGGCGGATTCGAGAGGCACCCGGTTCCTGCCAATGCGAAATGGCAGGTACCTATGAAAGACAAATATCGTGCAGCGTTTTTCCTACTAGGGGGTCAAATTCCAGGCAGCTTTAAGGCCGCCGCTGTTTTTCCACCTCTCGGGAAAAAAACAACACCCAACAAAACCAACCAAACCTCTAAATGCGGCGGTAGCCATTTTGCATTAGTGTTTTCCAGATTTGGGTTTTAAAATGTTTAGAGCGGTAGCCCAAATCGCGCTGCCTTCCAAACAAAAGAGCCTCGGTGCATATACAAACGTATTTGTACACAGCTTCACACGCACACTCACGCACACACAACATACTATAGATATAACATATATATTAATCAATATTTTCGCTGAGCTCATTTTACTTGTACAGAACGCGAAGTGAAAGCCTCCTATGGCAGCTACTTTTCTCTACAGTACCTATTTATTTTTTTGTTTCCAGTGCTAAGAAATGCGAATGTAAATTAGGATACCACGCAAGCGGGGAAGAAGATCACCGCCTTAATGATAGACAATTTTCTTTTAATTAAAAATAAAGAAAACAAAATAAAAAAGATCGACCCAAGCCCCCGAAGCCCCAAGAAATGTAGTCCATAATTCAAAGCCCCTTCAGTGTATAGCTGAGCTCACCGAAACCTCAGTGTAAGCTCAACGGGAACCACAGAAATTCGTCAGCCTCAAAACCTCTTCCCTCGCTTCCCCTGAAGTTTAACGCCGAGTTTTTACTTTAATACCAGTAGTGCACATTAGGCAGTTTAGCGGCATTTAAAATAAATCTCTCTGCAATTCATCTTCGCTTTAACTGCAAGATTATACTCAGGGGTTTATAGAACAATTTTTTTTTAAAGGATTTTTCTTTTCCTTTTTGCTTTTTAAATATCTTGTATATGCATAAAACTTTTTTTCCTCCCCTGCAGACCATAAGGTCCCAAACATAGCATAACGAGATGGCCCGACGTAGCGGGACTTAGCAAAAACAGAAACCCAACATTTTCTAAAATCTCTCGTATTTCTACAATATGAATATTGTTAATTAAAAAAAAATTAAAAATCCCTCGCTGATCTCTTCTCACACAGGTACACCAGGGACACTCACCCACACACAGATGCTTACCGCAAACATTTAAAAATCTGGGCCATTTCTCTAAGACTTTAAGCAATGCTATCTATGCTTTGGGGAGGTGGTTATATACATATGTGCCTGTAGCTCGAAAGCTAGGACTTCCACATATATTTAAAGAAAGTCACAGATGATTGCAAAGGTACATCTTTTAACCAAGCCTTTGAGGAATTAATAGACTGTGACAAACCTACAGGATTTTACTAGCAGAAGGAACACAAAGTATGTAATAGGAATAGTAAGAGCTAAGGAAAGGCCTGGTAGCATTTCTTAAAGGTGGTTCTACTCCCCTGACTTTTCCTCTGTTTCTTCGCTGCTGGGCTGTGTGGAATTTATGAATTTGTTTTCCTTTTTCCATTTCATCCGCCTGTTTTGAAACCATATTTTAATCTGGCGTTCAGTAAGGCAGAGAGCGTTTGCAATCTCAATACGTCGTCTTCGGGTTAAGTATCTGTTAAAATGAAATTCCTTCTCTAACTCTAGCGTTTGGTATCTGGTGTAAGTTTGCCTCCCTCGTCTCCCATGAGTTCCATATACTGTACCTGTAGAAGTAAAGACAAAACGATCGCATTGGACAGGGCCCAGTGATTTCAGACCAGAAAGAGTGATTAGTATATTCTGCCTCCTTTTGCAGGCACAATCACAGAGGGGTGGGGGTGGGGGGTGAGAATTGCTGTGGTTTCCTGGAGGCTTTTTTTCCCTTTCTTTCTCTTTTTGTCCCTCTTTTCCTTTTCCCCTGCCTGACCAGCTGTAAATGCGGATGTGCAGAATGCTTAAAGTGGTGGGATAACTGGGGTACAAAAAGGCTTTAAGGTGGACCTAGGGAAAGTGCAGTAGGTAGCACCCGTGTGAATCGCTGAGCACTGTGTACCCTCTGCGTGTTGCGAGCCTGTGTATACACACACATGTACAAACACACGTGCGATCCGGGGAGCTGCACGCATGTGTGTGTGTGTGTGTGTGTGTGTGTGTGAGCGTATGCTCGCATATGCGGGTGTGTTTACACAAACACGCTCTATTGCCATGGCTGTGACTACAGAGGGGATGTGATTTAAGTATAATTATAGACATCAGCTAAAGATCATAGAAGAGCCTCTGCCATTTGCTCCGGAATTTATTGCCCTTGAATGCAAAACAGCGTCAGAATGGTCTTGCAAAAAAAGTGTAACTCTCCAAAAGAGAAATGCAACCCACAGTCCAGCAAACATAAACTCGGGAGGAGGGAAGCCATTAACAGACACTGAAAGTAAAAGTCTTACTATGGGATTCTTAAAAATAAGTGCCACCCCAATACATAACCCCCTCCTCCCCTTCCCCCAAGCACCCCTCCTGGTCAGAATAGTTCAATTACGTGAAGTTCACTCCTAAGAGAAAATCAGAAATGCAATGCCATGGAAGTGCGCCCACGGCCCCAGAAACGTGCTCTCAATCTCCAATACTTACAGGCTAATGAGCTGGGGGAGGGGGACGAGGAGGAATGTGCCACAAATGCATTAGATCCTCAGAACAGAGGGCATATTCCCTTCATCGCTCTCTGACACAATGAAGAAGCGGAGCAGGGGCGGTGGGGTGGCTTTAAGAAAGTGGTAAAACTGCTCTGCTCCTGGTTTTTCTATTTATTATTATTATTTTTCTTTTTAGTTTTGCCTACTTCCCAAGGATTCCCCTGTAACTTTCACCAGTGAACCCACAAGCTGGGCTCTCGGTCAATCATCCCAGGGTGCCAACGTGCCAGGTCTGAAATAACCTGGGAAGGTTTCCTGTTACACAGTGCCCTACAGGACCCGTGTCTCTCCAGCAGCCTGTACTTTGTCTAAGAACCAAACCAAAAAATCTTGGGGAAAGAAACTTTTCCTTCCTCCCCCCCCCCCCCCCCCCCCCCCCGCCTTCCCCATTGCATCCGAGTGCCTTACCAGCGCAGGAGTTCATCCGCTGCATCCAGGGGTAAACAGGACTCGTGTACTTCCGGTCGGTGCCTTCGTCATTTACAATTTTGGCTTGGATGCCGCTGGCTTTGTACTGTTGATCGGGAGGAAAGTGCAGGTAGTCCCCGGCCCCCCTCTGTTTGCCACTGCTGGAGGGAGAAGCGCTACTAATCTCCTTGTCCGGATAAAAACAAGAGGCTCCGTACTCATAGGAAGCCCGATTGCAAGCAATGACGGTGTTGGACTGTTGGTAGAAACAAGGTGAGGTGTAAGTCTTGTCCTGCAGGCTGCTTGCCCCGTATGAAGCCGGAAAATGCCTGAGAGCATCATAGCCCGCCGGGTAAAGGGGGATCTGCCCGAGGAAAGAGTCCTGGCCCCCGGGCAGGCTCCCCGGGAAAGTGGGATTCACGAAATAGGAACTCATTTGCTCTTCCCCCTTGCCCGGACCGTGATTTGTTGTGTATTAGTACATCTGGCGATAACTATTAGGAGTCATCGAAGTGGTTTGTTTCTGGATGGCCGAGCGCCAAAAGCGACAGCAGAAAATAGGAGCAGCTGACGGCGGGGCGGCCAATGGGAGCGCGCGCGGCACCCGCTCCCCCGGGGCCGCCGCCACCGCGCCGCCAACTTACCGGCAGCCCCGGCCCCACCGCGCCGCCCCGCGCAGCTCCGCGGAGACAGCCGCGCCCCCGGGCGGCACCGCCCCCCCCCGGCGGGAGGGAGCCCCATCGTAATAATAATAATAACAATAACAGTAATAGTAGTAATATTTCCAGGCAATGTGACAGCAGCGGACGGGGGGATCCTCCCCCACGGGGGGGGCAGGAGGTGTGTGGAGGGGGGCTACGCGCCCGTCGCGGGGCCGCCAACTTTGAAGGGAGGGAGCCGCGTAACTCTGTGGGGATGGTAGGTGAAGAGCTCCGGCCCTCCGGTGGAAGGAGGGGGACACGAAGGAAGGGGGGAAGGAAGGAGGCAGCGGTGGATGCTGCGGGGGGAAAGTTTTGAGCAGAGGGAGCACGTGAAAAGGGGAGAGCAGCTTCGCGCAAAGCAGAGCGGGATGGGGTGGGGGGAAAGGCCGGCCTCTCTCCATTTTCCAACCGCTATTCCACAACCGCATCCCGGAGGTTTTAGCCGATTTTTAAATGTATTTCGTTGTTTTTACTCCTCTGAGGCTTCCCTTCGGAGGCCGCCTCAGAGCCGAACCTAGCTTTTGTGAGAGAAACTAACGCGTTCTGCATGAAAGAGGTCTCATATCTTAATGAACACCCTCATAATTAACGCGGAGGTTTCAGCTGTGGTAGGAAACGGTGGGCTTCTGGAGAATGAGATTTTTGATTTGCACCAAGTTCCCTGGAAGGCCCCGGCAAGGGCTGGGCAGTCTCCCGGTGCCCCTGACTAGCCCAGCTAAAGTTCCACGTGTCTCTGCTCCCCGAGTTTCCCTCCGCCAGAGTCGAGCCGAGGGAATCAAACATTCAAATACGAAAACGAACCAGTAGGATTATTCCTAATTAATACAGCCCCTCTAATGAGTCAGCAGAAGCCAATCGGTTTCGTTGTTGCTCCGAATAATTTGATTAAACGCGGATGTGTGTCTTTAAGAAGAGGAAAAACACCAAACCAAATATCTACATGAAACAAACATTTCCGCCTCAAATTTTCAATGGCAGCTACCCCACAGCGGAAATAAAATTCTTGGCCCAGGGCAGGGACAGTAACAGTGCTTATGAAATTCGCTGAGGCGCTTTGAATTCAGCCATAACGCTGCAGTTCCTGCAGATAACATGAGGTTGCTCATTCCAAGCTGTGTTTACTCATAATCAGTGCCCATTACAACGGATTGAATAGCCCCTTATTTTAAAGGCACTCTGACGGAAAGTGGCATTCGTACGAGCCCCGTTTCCTAAAGTAACTTTCAAAAGAGAGTTTTGTTGTTGTTGGGAGGCTATTTGCCTCATTTCCGGGGGCAGATTACGATACCTATAAAACAGTAGTGAGTTAAAACATCGCTCCACAATAGTTTGTATTGTTCACAGTCCCAGCTGGACTTTCACATTCAGATGTTGATTGCCTCCATTTTTTTTCCCCCTTTTTTCCAGCTTCCTTAACCTCTTCATCCCGGCTAATCCATAAACACACCTGGTAGAATTACAGCTCACTAGCTGCGTGCTTTGGGAGGTCATTTCGGAAACGCGTATTTCCTGAAAGTCAGCCTTCTCCAGAAAAAGTTATTTTCTTTTTACTCAGCGCGAATAGTTACAAAAAGGAAACAACATCATCAGACAAGCATACAGCACGCTAAATAGAAAGGGGTTTTAAAAAAGCAGATTTTCACCAACACAGGTCAGAACGAAAACGCACCATGAAAAATGAATACTGTGGCAAGCGAAACCCACCGCCTCACTCTTTTAAAGTTGTGACCAGATGGGGTTTTTCAATCCATCACACAGAGACCAAAAGTAAAAAATCAAGCCAGGTTTACTTATATTTGCATATTATAGAACGGTTACAGACGAGGCGGGTTCCCCTCTCTTTTTGTTTCTCTCCTCTTTTTCAAGTTATTGTTTGTGCTCAAACCAAAATGTCGCAAGGCCGACCACAGGTAGCGAAAACATTTCTTCTTTGGTCCCATAATATGGAAAGGACTGAAATGTTCACGTTTGCCTTGCTGGGTCGTGTTCGAGTAGTTACTGTGACAGCTAAACAATCTGCACTGCAATCTCCGCTTCAGTCACATTCAAGCGTCCTCTCTGCTCCTCCCCCTCCCCCCAGAAAACCCCTAAGTACAATAATCTGTGGCCCGCCAGATCTGCCGGGGAAAATGCCCTCCCCGGACACATTTCACAGCAGTTTCCCTTCACCGTTTCCCCACTCTGGAAAGCAGAAAGCCAGCCGCTGCATTTTTGCCACCGCAACAAAGTCACACTTGGCGATATCAGCGGATTTTATCAGCCTTTTATTTGTTTGCAGGATGCCCCGCACCCCCAGCACCTCCTCGCCCGAGCACCTCACCGTCCTCCTCCCGCCGAAACTGGGCCCTCTGCCCCAGCCACACTCGGATACAGGTGCGGGGCCAGTTACCCTCTTAAGCTTCAAAGCCTCCTTCTCCTTGCATATAAACCCACTTACAAATCCTTCTTATGCTCGGCAGCGTCACCACAACCAACCTTTACCTAATAGCTCCTAATCCAAACAGTTTGGGCAAGCCGAACCGTTGTTTAGACTGGCGGGGTATCGGGAGCCTGGTCGGCAGGGGAGGCGGGCGGCTCCTCCCCAGCTTTCCCCGGTGATATTTTACAGTTGACACACACCGCGGTAGAAGCGAAGGGGAAGGGAAAGGAAAGGAAGGGAAGAGAAAGGGAGGGGAGGGGGCAGAGCCGGTCCTGCCAGAATATCTTGCCCGGGGGCGAGTTGCGATGCTGGCGTAAAAGACCGTTGGCCGGAATTATTTAATTATTTTGATTAACGTTACTATTTTTTTTTATATTTTGGGGGTATTCTCTTTGGGTTTCCCCCGAGCAGCTCTGCCCTTCTCAGGGCCCGCGGGGGCCGCTCGGCTCCGCTCCGTCCTCCGCAGTCCCGCCACGCCGTGGCAGCACTGAGCACCCCCTGCCTCGCAATAAATAATCCTGCGCTCACTGCAGCTTCAGTCCGGACGATACCGCAATGCAATGCAAATGCAATGCTTTATCAGCCCGGCAGCACAACCACAGCCGGGGATAATACTTAAAGCCCTCCGAGCCTCTCGCTCGCCGTGGGGAGGTGGGAGCGGCGGAGGGGAATGACTGGGAGGTTGTCCGGGGCGCTGTCCTCGGGGTCGGCTCACCCTCGCCGGCATACACCGTGGGGCACCGACCCGCTAGTCGCCGCTCCACCCGCCCCAGCGCCGCACGGTAACAGTCACAACAAGGAGAGAAAGGAAAAAAAAAAAAAAGGGGGCAAAAGCTCCGTCTCCGGCGCTGGGATCGGTTTATCCGTTCCGCGCAGCCGAGGCGTGCAAGCTATCCAAGGCAGAAAGCGCCAGGAAAGCCGTTCCCACGAACCCACGGAGGGGCACTGGGGCTTTGCAGGCAGCGCTGGATCTGATAAAGAAAATCGAAGACACATTCCGCGCTGTTTCCCCCATCTAGAAATAACCTTTCGCCTGGACATGCCGGGGAAGCCAGGGGACATTGTGCTAACTTATGTGTTTTTTTTTCTGAAATACTAAAACATAAATTACATCTAAATTTCAGCCGTCGTAAATTAGCTTTAAGTTAATGCTGCGAAATAATGAAAACATAAATTAATGTTTGAGGGGGTAATTTTTTCCCCCCCCCTTCACTCTGGAAAAAAAACCACACAACCAAATCCCCTCGGAATGATGCTGTAAAGCTGAATTATTAGAAAATAACCCGCATGTCACAGAGCCCCCTGGCAATTGCAACCAGAAATAAATGTCGTTAAAAAAAAAAAAAAGTCCACGGCTTCCTCGCTAAATAATAGAAAATAGACATTTTATTTTGGCATAATTTTGCATGCATTGGTAAAGTCGAAATCAACCGAGCTGCAGCCACGTCTATTTTTGGCCACCAACGTTTCCACTTGCTTTAATTACACGTCTAATATTTAAACGTATTAAACTATGTTTCCCTGTTTACGGTAGTGTCATATACATTTCTCACCTTTTAGGTTCTGGCTCACAGGAGCCCCTGCGACTTTGACAGCTGTCGCTTTGGCTGCACAGGAGACGAATCGCCCTCCTTTTGGTGCCAGAAGAAGCAGGAAATTAGCCAGGTTGCAAGTTGAAAATCTGCCACGCCAGTGCTTTGAATCCAATATGCCACACCTTCCAGCGGGGGAACTGGAAATTGCCATCCCGGATCTGTGTTCTAGGCGGCTGCTTATGCCGAACCTCCGCACACTTTGTTCACTATTGCCTTACAAAGAACAAATGAAATGGGGATTGAAAGCCAGAGAGATCCGAAGCAGGACAGAGCTCAGCAAAAGAATGCGGCTCTATTCTCGCAAGGGAAATTATAAAAAAGTTCATGTTCACGGTTACCATCCACATGACCGACAACGACCAATGGAAAAACCGAACAACTCATAAAGTTGTATTGCAAAGTTGTAAATTTTCATAAACAACAACGGATTTATGGCCTTTTCCTCATCACTAAGAAGAGGCAGGTCTTAGAGAGGCGCCATCTTACCACAGAGGCAGCACTGGAGTTTTTTAAAAGACCTGGAGTTTGTACTAATTTTATTAAATTTGCAATTAGTAGGTTGAGCAGGAACAGAGTGTGGTAGAAAAGGGAAACTTCTGCACAAATGATACCCTAGTTCTACCTGTATTTACCCAGGCGAATAAAAGGACTTTTCGGATAAGTTTTTTTTTTATTATTATTATTATTATTATTATTATTATAAAGTTTGAAAATTTCAGATCTCCTTGACATTACGTGGTACCTGGCAAACATTATACATTTTCTAAAGCGGGGGGATTTCCCCTCCTTTTTAATGCCCCCCTGCTGCCCTCGAAAGCCGCCTGCATACCCCGCACGTCCCACATACGTACCCGACCAGATCATTTACACTTGGAAGTTTCTCACCGCACTTTCTGCTTATTACGAATTATTATTTCACTGCGCGCGATTTCGGCTCGCTTGTCGGCCGCCTGGACTAGCTTTAGGATTGCGAGAGGACGGGAAAAAGTGGAAGGAAACCTTCCCATAAAGCAGGCTTTTCGCTTTATTAATCAACAGCACTGGGGGGGGGGGGGAAATAACGAAGACGAGATAGAGAAATTGACTGATTCCTATCAATCCATCACCTTGGATTTTTTCCCATTCTGATTACTGAAAATAATATTTATATGGTCTAATTTCTGTATTTGTCAATGTAAATTATTTTTTGATGCTTCCTTCGAACAGTTTCCCTAATAAAGAAACACAATTCATTGTCAACAAGCATATTTATTTTCTGTATAACATAAAACACATTTATCGTGGGAGATACTTGAACACGGTATCACTTCCAAAGGGAGTTCACGGACGTTTTTTTTTCCCCACTTCCAATACTTACACGGCATATCCAAATGTTCACAATGAACACATCGAAACACATTGTAACATACAATTTTTGAAAGAGCTTTAGCCAAACCTTTACGACGGATTTATACAGAGTTCTTAACAATACACCATGCTACAAAGTTTCCAAATTAATTACATACTTCCCAAATTATGAAATGATCTTACAAATGAGCTCCAAGACGAATATAAATGACAAAGAAAAAAAAAAACAAAAACAAAACCCAACCAGTATATGCTATTGTAGGAAAATTCACGGTATTACATAATAACACTTACAGATAATCAGGACAAACAGTTGTTTGTTGTTGTTTGTTTTTTTTAAAGGTGGTTACATGGTCATTTAAATTCAGTTTTCAAATAACACTTCCGCTATATTAAGCAAGATCAACCTAGAATAAGAAAACGGCCTTTGGCAAAGGCAGCCGAAGGTAGAAGCCAATGGGAGATATTAAACCGCTTTGTACAATATTGGTGTGTGTTTGCTTCCTCACTCGGAATAGTAAAGAATCAAGAACAAAGATATATTGCAGCATATGGTTTTCATTTATAATTGCTTTGGAATAAATATATTATTTTAAATTTAAATATATTCAGCCTTTTCGGTACCAAATTCTATACCAAAGCTATGGATGCGTGCTTTTCAAATGACTACACTTACATTTCTAAAAGCATTTTGCAATTCACATTAGTAATCTTGTAACATCCTTTTGACTACTAAAATACAGTATACTTTCAAAGATAGGTAGGCGGAGCAAGATATATAGGTAGTCTGGAAAATAGGTAGTACAAATCATTGCTGTAGATCGTAGTGGTTTGTGGAACATCTCCCCCCCCCACCACCTTACTTGCTGTTTAACCTTTTGTTAGTGTATCTGTTAGTTATGATACTTTTTTAACAATAATTAACAAAAAAAAAAAAAAAAAAAGAAAAAGAGAAGTGCAGAGCTACTTATTCAAAATTAGGTAGTTTTTCTTAATGTGAGCCTAATGCACTTTTCCCCTTACACATGATTGGGACTACTGAGTCAGGTAGTTACTTCGAAGGTCATGGTTTACTATCTGTGCAAGCAGCGCCTCTCCCAGTGAAATGTCCCATGGAGAAACCCACCCACCCGTTTTTGGGTAAACGAAAAAAATAAATGATTGTAGAATGCTCTTAGGAGATATTACCAAAAGGTTCGGCACAGGGTAGGTCTGGGGAGCACGGGAGAATGGACAGAAGGCTGGGAAACTGCCCCAAGAAACGTTATAATGTCTGCAAACGCCCGCTTGCAAGATGATTATTGGAGGGAAATTATTCTTTTTTTTTTAATAAAAACATTAAGTCTCTCTCCTTTTTTTTTTTTTTTTCCTCCTTTAAAGGGAGCTTTCCCAACTGTCATGTGCATACGTTAGACTAAGAGATCACTTCCTCGAGTGGGATTCCTTAGTCCTCCTCTTCCTCGTCTTCTTCCACTTTCTCGACAGAGGCTGCTGCTGACATGGGCTCTGTGGGAGCCGGGGTGCTGGAGCTCTCTTCCTTGTGCTCCTTCTTCCACTTCATCCTCCGGTTCTGGAACCAGATTTTGATCTGCCTCTCCGTCAGGCAGAGAGCATGGGCGATCTCTATCCTCCGCCGCCGAGTCAGATAACGATTGAAGTGGAATTCCTTCTCCAGCTCCAGGGTCTGGTAGCGGGTATAGGTCTGGCGCCCTCGCTTCCTATCTGGACCTGAAAACAGGCACAAACGGCCAGGAGTTAGGCAAGAAGAGAGAAGAAAGTTTTCTCCTTCCAATTTTTTTCCCTTTTCCTTCTTAATATGCTTTTTATAAACAAATAATAAAAAACAAAAAAGCTGCCGAACAACAGTGAATGATACCCTCCTCTCACTTCCACCCGTCCCCCCACTTTCCCATAACAAAGACATTTCAGCCACACGACCTGCCCTGCTCGGGCAAGGCAAAAATTAAGTTCCTCGAGACCTAGAAAAAGTGGAGAGAAAGCATTCAGGAGAAGAAGTGGGGGAGGAAATTGCTTTTGGGAGGAGGAACTTTTCCCCCAGGCGATGTATTTCCCTAAAACCCTTCCAGACTTTCGCATTTCGCAAGTGGAAATAGAGAGCTGAAAGGTTGGGCCGTATTTATTTTATTTCAATATCGGGGGCTCCCTCCACACATACCCCCACCCTACTTGGATCGTAAACAATACATCGCATTTAGCTCCAGATTTGAGAGCTCTCCTTTTTCACACACTCTCCCCCTCAGTACCCCTCACCCCCCACCCCCCCCGCCCCGTTTTCCTGTTTAGTACATTTCTATAGATCCTTATCTCCGTGGAAAGGGCAGGGAGGGACAAGAGTGGCACGTCTCCGCAACATGGGCTGGCAAAGTCCTCAGCAGCCCGGCCCCCGCTCCTGAACGCCCCTCTCCCCTCCGCTTTTCCCAGCGAGCGGGATTTTTCTGCCCAACTTCGACAGAGAGCAGGGGAGCCGCTTACCCGTGGGGGCTCTGGAAGCCCGCGGTCAGGTCTCCGCATTTCTACAGCAAACAGCACAAACCAACTCAATGCTAAAATTCCATAGCAAATGGAGTTAAATAAATTTACGAGGCTAGAACCCATTAATTGGGCAATAAAAAGTTTTATGATACTCATTTACATACAATGCCACGGGCTTTCTACGCAATGGCGCCTCGGCTATAATTAAAACCATAAAGGCTGTGCTGACAATAATTCTGGCGACACGCTTTGCCTGGCTGCCACGGCTTCAAGCCCTCTCCGCTTGCCCCTACCTGAAGACCTCATCCAGGGGTATATCCGGAAATTAGGCTCAGCCTGGTTGTGCAGGTTGCTTTCCTCCGCTTTCTCACAGCTGGGTTTGGTTAGCTCATTGCAGAGGACGGGAATGTTCTGATCAAAAGAGGAACAATGCAGGTTGTAGGCATCAGAGCCCAGGCTGTATCCGGAAGAGAACGGGCTTTGATATATGGTACTGTTCACATTGTACAAGCCGGGCATGGAGGAGGCGAAGGCACCCGCGCCTGGTCCATAGCCGCTTCTCTGGGAGTTGCTTGCAAAGGAGCAAGAAGTAGGCTCTGCATTTTGGAAAAGAGAAGCCCCCGCCGTATATTTGCTAAAAAGCGCATTCACATAATACGAAGAACTCATAATTTTGACCTGTGATTTGTTGTCCGGCAGGCTTCAGTGTCGGTTTTACGAGGTAGCGTGATATATGATAACATTACACCCCCAGATTTACACCAAACCCCATTTTCTTTTGGACTGAGCTGCCTCGAGCACGTGACCGGTCATATGACGGCGTCCGCCAATCCCCGCCCGCCTCACAGGTGGTGCCGGCCGCGGCCCGCCGGTGCCCGGACATGGACGGGTCGGGAACGCCGCCGCTGCCGTCGGGCCCGGGAGCGCCCTCCAGCCGCCGCCGCACCCTCGCCACCCCGCGGACGGGGTGCAGTGCTTCCCATTTCCCGAGGGGGGAACGCGCACATACTGTCCCTCAGACAAACCGGGGGTGTTCTGAAAAATGAAATCAGGCAAAATATAGTTTTACGGAGGCTGCTCGTCACCCTTATTTCTTTTTTTTTTTTTCCCGTAAAGGGGGAAATAAGCAGGCGGTAAGCCGGGAGAGGGTTTTGGAGAGGTACCCCCCATTTTCAGGGCCCAGTGGCACACCGCCGGCCCTAAAGGGGTTCCCCGAGGCTGTAAAACCAAGGGGTCCCCCTGGAGTGAGCCTCCCGGT